ATCCGCTTAAAACTCAGGAGGTCACTTCATACTCCTCAGCCCATGGCCTGAAAGTGGCAAGGGACTTCTATAAAGAGTTCTTTTCTTCATCTTTCGCTGGAGAATCGGAGTCAATCAGAGAGCAGAATATTGAGGATTTCCTAACCCCCCTCTCCGAAAGAATCTCGGAAGAACAACGCGAGTCCCTGGAAAAACCACTACGGAAAGAGGAAATCTGGAACACCCTCCTGCAGATGGACGAAGACAAAACCCCAGGGGTGGATGGACTCCCTAAAGAATTATTGGAGGAAATGTGGTCCCCCATGTCGGAGGAATTGATGGAATTTTATAGGCAGGTAAGGGCCTCAAGAGACATGGGGGACCTGGCAGGTCAAGGAATCCTCACCGTACTGTACAAAAAAGAGGACAAAATGAACATAAAGAACTATCGACCGGTCACCCTCCTCACGGTGGTGTACAAGTTGTTGGTTAAGGCAATGGCCAATAGGATGATACCGGTCTTGGAGGAAATAATCCACCCCGCACAATCGGGGTTTATGCGTAACAGGAATATCCAAGACAACGTGTTACCGGTCAACAAATTAATCAAGTTATCGAGGTAGTCGCACCAAAACGCGACTATAGTGTTCATCGATTTCGAAAAAGTCTGCGACCACGTAGACTGAAAATGTCTGAACAAATGCCTGCATAGAATGAACTTTGGCCCGAAATTCAGGAATTGGAACACGATACTCCACCAAAATGCGACAACACGGGTGCAGGTAAATGGGCTACTGGCGCCAACAATCAGACTCCAGCGCTCGGTGCCCCAGGGTGACCTACTGGCCCCCTTCCTCTTCCTCGTGGTGATGGAAGCATTGGCAGCGAACCTGAGAACTAACAAGAAAATCTCTAGGCTACGGTTGTCAGGCATTCCAGAGGAAGCCATACCGGTATACTCGATGTTTGCCGACAACCTTACAATAGTAGTCGAGGCCACCCAAAATAACATGACTGAAATCCTAGCCCTTATCAAACGGTTTACACGGGTGTCTGACATGTCAGTCAACTGGGGAGTAAAATGCAAGGCTGGTGGATTCACTTCCATGGAGTTCACCCCCCGGAGCATCCCAAGGTTGATTGGAGGCCCCTGGAAGAACAAATCAGAGTCTTGGGGGTGGCTCTATCAGCTTATGGACCACCAACTGGAAACGATGAATGAATTATTAAGCCAGCGCTGGAAAAAATGCAGAAATGGAGAAACAAAAACACATTCATTTTTGGGAGGGCTTTAGTCATCAACAATGTAGTGCTAGCATCCACCTGGTACAAAGCGGCCCTCTGGCATCTGGGGAAGGGCAGCATCAAGAGCCTTAAGAAGCAACTGGTTGCTTTTCTCTGGCGTGGGAACCACGAGCAACAAAACGTGATCAACAGGGTGGCATGGGACAAGCTGATACAACCTAAAACCAGAGGAGGTCTTGGATTGTTGGACCCCTCTCTACAAGTCGTCGCTCTATCAATCCAATGGATCAAAAGACTGATTGTAGGAATTAACCTTCCATGGCGGGAACTGGCATTGGAGCAAATCCGCAGATTAGCTCCTAGGACTATTGACACAGTGACCCCGCTCACATGGCTGAAAGACCGATACTGAACCATCCCCCGAGGCAACGTGTGCTCACGAGAGGAGGGGGATAGAGGAGCGGCTTGACAGGACCTAGCGAGAGACAAATTCAGGAGTAACTTAATCAAGAATTGGCGAAGGCTACCACTCCCAGACAGGCCTACCCCAGTACGGATGGAGGAGATCTTACGCCAGCCCCTGTTTGGAAACAGGGTGATCACGGATAGTCAAGGAAGGGTATATGGCAGTTCAAACCCCCACTGGGCTTCATGGATCAGAGAGGGAATCCTCCGGGTACGGGACATATGGGATGAGGAAAACAAGGATTGGAAAACAACACAACAACTCAGACCTAGCCTGCGTCATGCTCATAAACTGGAGGACGCACTTGACCAACTGATTTTGTCGATCCCCCTAGCCTGGGTGGTGTCCCTGAGGAAGGGCAGGGTATTACAGGATCAAGACTGGATAGCAGTAAGGGTGGAGGACTTTCCATTACAAATAGGTTTAGTGGTAGAGGCAAGACCAGAGGGGGCAATGGTCAATCTTTTTGAAAGAAGAGGAGACGACACCTTGTTCAGGTACCAACCAGACGCGGTCCAATGGCATGAGGAATCTAACCTTTATCGGATCCGAGTGCCGCAGAGCCAGAAGGAAGAGGGGATCCTGCCGAGCCAGAAGGAAGGGGGGATCCAATGCCGAGCTTACTTACCAGAAACTCCCCTATCCGAGTTAGTTGTGGACCCTCTGGAATGGCAGTGGAGAAGAGGACATAATGGGCAACCAGTGCACCTCCTTGAATTAATAGTGAGAACCACCTACAGGATGATCAGGCCCCTGGTGGATGTTTAGACAGAGGTAGGAGACAGATGGCAGAAACACCTCAGTCTACATAGGGACCAAGTTAGAGGACTGAAATGGTTCAGAGGAGTAAGAGAAAGACCGACAAAATTCGCCTCCCTACAGTGGCAAATCAATCACAAGTGCCTCCCAACCAACAACTGGATCATCAATAGGACGAACCTAGAACAGAGAGGGGAGGCTCTGCCATAGTGCAATTCATGTAAAGCAGGGTTCTCGGGGCGTAGAATTTGTGAAACAATAGAACGTATCTTTCTACAATGCCCTGGGGCAGTCCTGCTGTGGCGATGGTGGGACCGTATCTAGACTCAACTGGGCACTGGCGAGGAATGACCATGGAAATGGGAAGTCCTTCTCTTAGGTGAATGGGAAAGGCCGCATGCATCCCGCTTAGCCAACAACCTTTTCTCCATATCCAGAAAGGCGTTGATCTGGACGTTATGGTTAAGAAGGTGTCTTTGATCAAGAAGGGTTCATGATGGGGAAAGGGGAAGTGGCAGACACAGCAAAACAGTTTATTGAAGCAGAAATAAGAATGCAGTGGAAAAAAGTGCAGGAAAAAATGGAAACCCTATCTCAAAAAGATGATATAACTAAGGAAATCCATAACTTATGCGCAGAATGGCTGGGGGGGGGAAGGGGGGGCTGGATGGCCCAGGTAGACTGGCCAGGGGAAATGAGAGACAAGGAGGGGCAAGAGGACTTCACCAAGGACTGCAAGCTCAGGTTCCACGACTGGCTCCATGTCGACCCCAACATCCTGTTGAAGCACCCTGAGGAATTTCCAGATATGTTTCCCCCGACAGCCACAACAATCGTTGAAAGGCAATGGTACGGGCATCAGTAAGGGCAACAGTAAGAATGGTGGGTCTGTTGGGCACCTACACTTAGCAGATTAGGTTGGCAACAGTCATACGGGAGTAAGCAAGGTCTGCCTCTGCAGGAATACATGTATCAGTAAGGAGGTAGGTTGGTTCGTAGGGGAGAGACACTTGCTCTCGGCAGATTATGAAGGTAACAATCATACAGGTGTAGGCAAAGTCTGTCTCTGTAAGGATGTTGGACCGACTCCTGTTGGGGAGAAGGTGGAACTAGTGAACACTGCAGGCAACTAGCACCGGGTCCAGGATGAAGAGGTTTCCGCCCCTCCAAACACAGAACAAAAGACAGACAGAACAACACACAGGATCTGCAGGCTCAAAGGTTGTGGTAACATAGTCAACTGGGACTGCACACAATCATTGATAGAACAAGGTTAGAACATAGGGCCTGATGTAGATTTAAGGGTTTAAGGGTTTAAAGGGTCAGACACAGCAATAACCAAACAGGGGGACTGCTAAAATAGGGTTGGGCTTAGGGATAAGGGGAGCTCCAACAAGGGGATGGGTGACATTAGCAGTTCCATGGGATACCGGAGCCCCGGGATGAGTTAACAAGGAGCACAACCTCAGAAACCACAGTCACCAAGCTATGTGCTACATGATGTATCAAGGGGACGGTGACCCGGTTTCCAGCAGGTGCCGCTCCCCACCAATAGATGGAGCAGCCCGACAGATAAGCCCTCAATGTTGGTGGTTCTCTTACCACCTCCAGGATAGAGGGATATCACACGGTTTTTTCAACAAAAAAAAACAAAAAAAAAACCTTTAGTTCGAATCCTTCTCCTCCTCCTCCTCCTCCATACCTCAGTTCGAAATGTCCTCCTCCTCCTCCCCCTCCTCCTCCTTCTCCTCCTTCTTCACACCCGCGAATGAAGTCTTCACAAACATACCTCAGTTCAAAGTCGAGGGAGGCACGCCGTCCTAACATCTTTTATTTATTGATTGACTGATTATTTTTTTAACTTTTAAACCGTCCCCGCGGTCTTTTTTAGAAGCCAAGGGCCCGACGACATGCCCGGTCGTGGGCCCAGCGAAATTTGTGGGAGCAGGCGGGAGGCGGAGAGGCCCAAGAAGTTAGAAGCGCACAAAATTTCAAGCGCGCGGAGGGAACCAGGAGCAGGCGGGAATCCGGCAGTGGGACCGCTTTGGGGGTGAGGCCGAGGCGGAGAGGCCCACGAAGTTAGAGGCACACAAAATTCCAAGTGCGCGTTGGAAAACTGAAGCGCCGCAGGGGATAGCGGGGGCGAGGCGGGCCCAGGCGCGGGTGGGAACAGGTGAGCGAAAATGCAAGCGGCGCGTTGCAAGGGCAAGTGCGTGCAGGTGACGGTTGGGAGGGGGGCAAGGCCGACGTGCGGCGCTTGAAACGAAGCGGGCCGTGGCTTGGCTCTACGTTGGGAGTCCAACGGAGTCCGAGGTCGAGCGCAGCGCTGACCAAGAAGTGGGACGGGCCAAGCGCCATGCGGGATGTGAATGCCGACGGAGTGCCCGGTGCAGATAGAAGAGGAAGAAGGGGACATGGACAAGAGACGTGCCGAGGAGATGGCGGATCGAGGTATGTTGTCCTCTCTCTTTCTCTCTCTTTCTGTGTGTGTGTGTGTGTGTGTGTGTGTGTGTGTGTGTGAAAGAGATCGTCTGTTCCTTTTTAGATATGTTAAGAGGTGCTTAATGGTTCGCACCTATGGATGAAGTCTTCACAGGCATACCTCAGTTCGAATTCTCCCCCTCCTCCTCTTGCTCCTCCTCCTCCTCCTCCTCCTCCTCCTCCTCCTTCTTCTTCTTCTTCACACTCATTAAATTAGTCTTCACAAGCATACCTGAGTTTGAATCCTCCTCCTCCTCCTCCTCCTCCTCCTCCTCCTTCTTCTTCTTACTGTCGTCGATGTTCCACAAGAAGAGGTGCTTAATTGTTCGCACCTGTTAATGAAATCTTCACAAACATACCTTAGTTCAAATCCTCCTCCTCCTCCTCCTCCTCCTCCTCCTCCTCCTCCATACCTTAGTTCGAAATGTCCTCCTCCTCCTCCTCCTTCTTCCTCTTCTTCACACCCGCGAATGAGGTCTTCACAAACATACCTCAGTTCAAAGTCGAGGGAGGCACGCCGTCCTAACATCATTTTATTTATTTATTGACTGATTAATTTTTTTACTTTTAAACCGTCCGCGCGGTCTTTTTTTTTTTTTTTTAATCCCATCCGCACGCTCTTGACATTTTATTCTTGCGACGTTTCCCCTCTCCCCGATCAGGGATCCTGATCTCGACGCCCTTTCCCCCCCC